ACATCCTGGAAAGGTATCCCCCCCTTTCAAATTCAGGGCATGTTCCCAGGGCCAGTGTAGTTGTCAACACAGATGAAGATACATGTTTCTGCCCTCCATACTGTCCTCCTGCCACCCCCACCCCCCATACGTATAACTCTCAACTTTAGAACTTTGAGAACGATTTCAGGGAGAAAGTGAGAAGTGGTGCACTGCTGCAAAGAGAGAGTGTGGTCAAAGTATTAACAGATTGTAAGCATTGTCACTGTGCCCCCGATCACTGTGTTCCTATCACTGTGTCCCCAACCACTGTGCCCCCAATCACTATGTTCCTATCACTGTGTCCACAATCACTGTGTCCCCAACCACTGTGCTCCCATCACTGTATCCCAAAACACTGTGTCCCCAATTATTGTGCTCCTATCAATGTGCTCCCAACACTATGTCCCCAACACTGTGTCCCCAATCATTGTGCTCCTATCAATGTGCTCCCAACACTATGTCCCCCAACACTGTGTCCCCAATCATTGTGCTCCTATCAATGTGCTCCCAACACTATGTCCCCCAACACTGTGTCCATAATCACTACGCTCCCATCACTGTCTCCTCACCACTGTGTCCCCAAACACTGTGTCCCCATCACTGTGTTCCCCATCATTTTGTCCCACATAACTGTGCGCCACCTGCCACTGTATCTCCATCTCTGTGCCCCTTCCCCCACCACTGTGTCCCTACTGGGCAGGAGCTGGCAGGAGGTGGCAGGAGCCGGCAAGCTGAAGTCAGAAGGATTGAGTTGGCAAGTGGCGCTGTTCTTCACAGCAGTCGTTTCCTCATGCTGTGTCAGGAGCCAGGAGCCTGATACTAGTCTGGATCCTCTCCTTATTTCGGTGACGTCACTTCCACCCGTGTGTTCCACGCTAGTTCCGGTGCGCTTCCTGAGGTACACAGGGTGTCCCGGCTCCATTCTCCCATCTTCCAGGCCTAGATGACAGAGGTGGACCCTGCTAAAGGAGTGAGCTTCAGCAAGAAGTTGAGGTTTTAGATTTTAACTCCCCCCCATGCCAGCTCCCTTAGGTGCTATCTAAGCTGCCTTGTGCTGGTGCGGGCCCTGCAGGTGGCCTTTTATGGTCCAGGCTGCATGCTCACATAAGGATCTGTTAAGGAATGGGCTGAACACCCATTCATTTGACCATTTGCACAGGAACTGTTGTACACGTTGTATGCAGTGCAGAGGTTCTCCTCATATTATTATCCCCTATGGATAATTGTAGGATTAGGCTATTTTCTCTATTGATTGAAGTTTCTTTAACTTTTGACCAAATGTCCTTTTGACTACGTTCTCTTAGGATCAAATGTTAGAAAGCTACATTCGCCCAAGAAAATGGCAACATATTGAAACTGGGGCAGATTTGATGGTCTACTTGATCTTTTTCTGCTGCCACCCTCTATGTTTCTATATTAGCAGATATATTAGCAATGATTTCAGTGGGCAGAGATCATTGAAGCTTAAATGTCCAGACCAAATTCTGCAGCGTCTGTTAACTGGACAATAACTCTGAGCCTGTGTTCACATATGTAAAAAATTTGGATGCGTTTCGAACTGCACCGATTCGCATGACAGGTCAAATAAAATACTTTTCTGTTCATATACATGCAGACCCAGCTGCATTGTGAATTTGAATAGGGTCCTGTGTGGTTTTCAGTGCAGTGCGGGTTTCCAGGCTGATACACTTTAACAATTCACATTGGAATCGCATATGCACCGTATGAACACAATCGCACCGCACCGGCCATCAAAATCGCACCACATCCCACACCGAATATATGTGAACCCATGCTGAATAATAGAAATCAATGGCTGCATGCAGGTGCACGCAGGTAATTGTGTAAATATGCGCATGCATATTATGGAGACAAGGAGTAGAAATGTTGCACACTGAAACCCCTCTGCCATACTATGTAGTGTACATATTGGCCCTACTCCTCCTGGCCATGCCCCTCTGACATTTTGTCCCAGACATTGGGCTTAATTACACTGGTTTACAAAAATTATCGACCTCCGAGATAAAATGTGCTAATTCTTACATATTTTCATTAGATGAATTAGAAAACAGGTAATAAAGATGCTGGTTAGCTAAAGTTTTCAAGATATTTCACAATAAAGATTTATACACAGGCGAGTATATTTGCCTAACCAGATAAATATAGATGGCGCCAGAAACTATAACAATAATGAAATTAATCCTGCCAGTATTTATAACAAAAAAACATCTGCAAAGTCTACCCTTAGTGAAGGTGTGTACAGATATAAAAATAACAGACTGTGCTGGTAACAAATGTAAACATAAAAATGTCCGTGAAAAAAATATATATAAAATATAACTAAATCATATTAATCCCAAAACATATCATAACAAAGTTAAAACAATCATATAAAGTCCCAAAAAATTATTGTAGTGAAGATGAACAAAATTTTACGAAATCCACCAAGTGAATCCACCACCAAATAGACTGAATAAACTCACCAGAGCAATATGCTGATTATATAATAAACCAGCATAAGTGCTTTTTTGCTCTGGGAGCAACGATCTGTAGACAGTTGAACCACAGCTTGGACAAAATGATTTCCTCTAATCCTGGAGCAATACTCTGCAGGAGACTCTGTGACTCTGTAGATCCACTTCATACATATCCCATCCTATCCAAGGGGTATTGGAATGGCCACTCGGAATATACAAAAACAGAAGCTCATGGTGCAGTACCTCTTAAAAATGTTGCTTTATTAATACTAAACACACTTACAAAAAATGGTGTCCAACCGACATCAGCATAATCAGCCAAGTCAGATGACAATGAGACAATGAGACATAAATAGCAGCTAGACTCAAAATCAGTATACTGCTGCAGTTCAGGCAACAATTGTGATTTCATTACTGCTCAATGACTGGTTGCTAAAGGTTACAGCACACATTACGGCTCACCGATTAGTTGCTAGAGATTATAGCACATGATTTCTGCTTGCTGATTGGTTGCTAGAGGTTACTGCACATCATTACTGCTCACCCATTGGTTGCTAGAGGTTACTACACATCATTACCACTCACTGATTGGTTGCTAAAGGTTACAGCACTTAATTATGTCTCACTGATTGGGTGCTCAAGATTATAGCATATCATATCTTCACTATCTGCACACCATGGACTGAGATGGCCCCAGTGGGCATCAATCAGCAGAGGTGATGGTGGCTGGAACCTCAAGGGGGCATATTATACATATGCATGCAACTGCAATTTACATATGAATGCCACATTGCTGCCACTATTTACATATGACTGTAAGCAATCTGTACATGGCAATAGGGCAGAGCTGGGCAGCATAAGTGACAACACTTCACACTGAGATATCAGACACAGCATGGGACAAAGATTTTAAGCTACAAGGGAATGTAAACCAGGGCAGTTGGCAAGTATGGGGCAGCTGCTTTGGGCCTCACAACAATGACTGGGCCCAGGGCAGCTACCCCTTTTGCCCCTCCTTAAAGACGGACCTGAATTCCAGGGGATAAAAACTTTTGATCAGGGCCATTTGGGTGATTTCTGTTATCATTATAATTTAAAAAGGAGCCAAACAACTATGTGATAATAAATGGCTTCATGTAATCACTATGCTTAAATAAAAGACAGCTTTTTGGCATGATCAGTCCTATTTTCAATATCAATGCTGACATTTCACTATCTCTGCCAGGGTATGCAAGCTATTGAGCATAACTTTAAGCTGCAATACTGTTCTCCCTGTGCGGGTTTCCTCTGGGTACTCCGGTTTCCTCCCACACTCCAAAGACATGCTGGTAGGTTAATTGGCTCCTGTCTAAATTGGCCCTAGTATGTGTATGTATGAATGTGAGTTAGAGACCTTAGATTGTGCGCCCCTTGAGGGTTAGGGACTGATATGAATGTACAATATATATGTGTAAAGTGCTGCATAAATGGACGGCGCTATATAAGTACCTGAAATAAATAAATAAATTACATTTTTGTTTTGGGGTTTAATACCACTTTAAGATTTACCCAAAGTGCAGACTAAATGATACAATCCTGTCTGCCAAGAGTGTTGCTCATGGGTAAATAACTGAACACACACTTACACAGCGCACAACTGAGAGCATCAGAGACAAGATATACAGCTGGAGGATGTCATCCCTGAGCCTCCTAATTCTTTATTATTACACCGAGGAAGACAACCTCAATTAATTCTCCATGACCTCATCTACAATAGGCAGCACCTAACATCCACTGTTTGTGCTATAATTTTTTTTTTTTTAATAAATTATACTGTGTCATAAAGCAAATATTCCACGGGTTGATTACTTCTGTAATTGGCTTCTCATCACCGTGCCTCGTGCATTACGGCTCCGACACCTAAGTCCAAATTGTTTCGTTGCGCTGCAGAGTCGAGATTAATGCCTTCGTGAAATTGTCATTTCTCTGCAACAAACTTTGCTTGGAGACAATTTTCTGACCATGCTAATGTTGTCGGATGACGGATGTCGGGACGGCTGGTTACGGCTCGGAGACCGACCTTGGTGTTGTGTTTTGTCGAAGCGCTAAATAAATGGCAGTTCATTTCATCAATAAACAGATTAAAGATTGGGATTAAAGGGCAAATCCAGGCCAATGGCTAAGTATATAGGATGTGCTGTGCCTGCAAAAAGGATTGGAATGCATGTAGTCTTTTATCATTGGGCAGGTAGGAAAGTATGCCTAGGAAATTGAGGAAATATGATTACTTACAAGTAAATATATAGTATTATCCCCAGAGCAGCACAGTGCCACCATGATAACATTGTGTATATACAGTATACTATATAAATATACATATATATATATATATATATATATATATATATACACACACACACTATATTGCCAAAAGTATTGGCACACCCCTACAATTGGATCTTTGGATTCAGGTGTTCCAAACACCTCCATGGCCACAGGTGTATAAAAGCAAGCAATTAGGAGTGCAGACTGCTTCTACAAACCTTTTTGAAAGAATGGGTCACTCTCAGGAGCTCAGTAAATTCAAGCGTGGTACCGTGATAAGTTGCCACCTGTGCGATAAGTCCATCCATGAACTTTCCTTGCTACTAAATATTACACGGTCACCTGTTAGTGGTATTGTACAAAAGTGGAAGCAACTGGGAACAACAGCAACTCAGCCACAAAGTGGTAGGCCACATAAAATGGCAAAACGGGGTCAGCACATGCTGAAGTGCACAGTGCACAGAAGAGTCAATAGCTTATGACCTTCATACTTCATGTGGCCTTCAGATTAGGACAACAACAGTGCATAGAGAGCTTCATGGAATGGGTCTCCATGGCCGAGCAACTGCATCCAAGCCTTACATCACCAAGTGCAATGCAAAGCGTCGGATGCAGTGCTGTAAAGCATGCCGCCACTGGACTCTAGAGCTGCGGAGACATGTTCTCTGGAGTGACAAATCATGCTTCTCTGTCTGGCAATCCGATGGACATGTCAGGAGAACGGTACTTGCCTGACTGCATTGTGCAGTCAGGCAAGTAAATTTGGTGGAGGGGGGGGATTATGGCATGGGGCTAATTTTCAGGGATTGGACTTGGCCCCTTAGTAGCAGTGAAGGGAACTCTTAAGGTGTCAGTATACCAAGGCATTTTGGACAATTGCATGCTCCCAACTTTGTGGGAACAGTTTGGGGATGGCCCCTTCCTGTTCCAACATGACTTTACACCAGTGCACAAAGCAAGGTCCATAAAGACATGGATGAGCGAGTTTGAGGTTGAGGAACTTGACTGGCCTGCCTGACCAACCCAATAGAACACCTGACAGTGTCCCTGATCACTGCCACACCAGTATGACCCTATACACCAGTGCACCAGTGATGACACTATACTACTGATGACAGTATGTAAAAATTAAAGCTGATTTATTTGCAAAATTTTATAACAGAAACGAAGAAAAGGGTGTTTTTTATTTTCAGTATTTTTTCCTTTATACAGCAAAAAAAATAAAAACACCACCGAAAGAAAGCTCTGTCTCAACATAATGATTAAAATTTGGGTACAGTGTTGCATGACAGAGTATCGACAAAGTGTAAGAGAGCTGAAATCTGAAAATTGGGCAGGAAGGGAATGAAAGTGTCCGGTACTGAAGTGGTTTTAAGGAAAGCGGACTTTCTGGTTACAGCCCACTCACAGTTTTCCAGTAATAGCATCAGCTCCTGGCTGATTGATTTTACTTGCCTGGAGTTTCCCTTTAATGGCAGAACATGGCGAATATATTAATTGCAAGAAGAAAAACATGGGAAAGAATGTGAGGGGAAGTTATCCAACACTGAAATGATCAAAGCATCTGCTAGTATTAGTCTCGCACACCCTGAACTGAAAATCAAAGCTACGTCCTTGCTTGGAACCTACAAGTCCAGATGGCTTCCCGGGGATAATTGTGGGCTGTGAAGTTAAAAGGAAAATGTCTGAGGATAAATTAAATGTATGATACACTTAAAGTTCATTGGATTCTTTTCCCCAATGAGTAAGATATTTGTTTTCAAGGGAATATGTAGTTAGTTCAATGTTTTTATAGCTATACATTTAAGTTGAGATTGTTAATAATCTTAATAACACGTATTAACATTTTAAAACCCTTGTCTCCATCTATAGATCGTAATACTATACTGTACACATATTATAGGAGTGAAGGGTGCTTCTTAAAGTGACACTTTCATGAGAAAAGAAAGGGGGCTGCCACTGCGGACCTCTCCTTCATTGAGTAGGTGGGTTCCTTAGCTGTCTTGATGGTGTGTTGGCTTTAATACTTTGTGCTTCTGACCTGTAACAAGTATGGAGATAAGGAATTCCGACACTTATATACAGCATGCTTTTTTGAGGTCTGTGACTCAAAAGTATTAAAGAAAAAGGAAGATTAAAGGCCCAAGTATAGAAATAAAAAAAAAATAAATAAAAAAATTTCTAGGGACAGATACTTCAAAATGGGAACTGTCTCTGGGAAATGAGGATGTATGGTAAGAAAGGAAAGGAAGGTGTTGGGGCGCGAATGAGTGTGCAGCAGTGGAGCAGTGCTGAATTCACTGTCTGTGTGTGTGTATTTGTATTGAGGATAACCCAGCAAAAATGGTAAGCAGGGATTGAGAAAAAAAAGAAATACTCCTTGTGGTGGAACCTGTTTTAAAAGCCTTTTCTCCGGTGCATTGCAGGAAAGCAATCTGCTGCATTAAGCAGCTAAGTTACTGCTGGGAGGGAAAAGCAGGGTAGGCTGAACTGAACCACTGAGAGAATAATTTAAACAACTTCAGTTATTCTGCTGTAAATTTTGACAATTAATTTCTCCACAGTGCCTGCAGATACAAAGGTCAGTGAGGACTTTCTTTTTAAAGCTCATTTGCTGTTTGTCATGACTGTGTAAATAAATAAGTGCCCACTGCCTAGTAACAGGTTCAATTCAAAGCTTTTTTTCAGTGTTTAAGGTCTAGGGCAGGGGTGTCCAAACCTGTGGCCCAACACAGAAAACTAAACGTACTTAAAAATGTTGAATGTTTTTTTAAATCTTTTGAAAAATGCATTTAAACATGCAGCTGAAGCAAAATGTGTGTCTCTTTAGTGGACTTTTTGAAGTTTTACCTTCTGAAATAACAATATCACACTATTCACAATCAAACTATTTGTTAGCAACTATTTTCAAGGCGGAAACACATGAAGGGCAAAAGTAGAACCAAAGTATCTGATGAGCACCTTGAGAATTCAGAGAATTATCTATCTCAGGGATCGTTAACGTGTGATCTGCTGACTTTTTCTGCTCATCAGCTATCCTTATTGTTAGTGTATTTTATATGTGGCCCAAGACAATTCCTCATCTTCCAATGTGGCCCAGGACAGTCAAAAGTTTGGACACTCCAGATCTAGGGCATTTGCAGGTATACATATTTCCAAAGATCAAGGACCAAAAAAGTATTTTAGGTTTCCTGACTCTGTACATTTTATAGAGTTCACCGACTCTATTATCAGAAAACACAATAGGAAACCCTCTTCTGCAAATTTGTTTTATAATGTTTGAGATGATTCAGCCTCAAGTGACGCATTGCTCTGCTGTCCCCCCATGTTATTATATGGACTTTGTAGTAATATTGAAGTAATTAAATCAGGATTCATTTACTGGCTACATTATAAATATCTCTGTCAAATCCAGCCGTTGGCTTCAAGCTTTCAGATTTGGAAGTAGATGGGGGCGAAAATGTACAGTTTTATACAGCGCCGTGTATTGATCCCTGGAGGGTTCAACGTTCAGCTGGAGAATCCTGAATCAGTCAGACAAGAAGACGAATGCTATGAAAAGACATTTAGCAGATCCGGTGACTGGCTATCACTGTTTGCCAAGTACAGAAGATAACAGTTCCTTGGTCGAAGTGATTAAATACATTGAAAACTTCTACTTTATCTTGAAATAATAAATTCTATCTGAATACATTCACCAATAGGCTGGACAGCATGGTGGCTGAATGGTTAATGCCAGGAGTGGACTGACAACTCATGGGGCCCCCGGGCAATAGGGGATCATGGGGCCCCTGTGTCCTTGCCCAAACTCAAAAAAGCCTATGAAAAAGGTACCAGGGGCATCTCATGAGGCCCCCAACTGACCCCGGGCCCTCGGGCAGCGTCCTAGTTTCCAAATGGTCAGTCCGCCCATGGTTAATGCTATTTTGCAGCACTGGGCCCTGGATTTAAGTGCTACCAGAAACACTTTTGTGTGGAGTTGTATATTCTCCATATGTTTATGTGGGTTTCCATCACCCTAAAACCTACTTTAAGGTTAAAGGAAACTGGGCAAGAATATGAATGCTGCCAATGCTGACCCTCTTCTGAAAATGCTAGTTGACTGGCTGTCAGACTAATCCAATGAAATCAATTCTTTCTGAGTTACTGGCCGAGGAAAAATATCCAGCGAGATGTAAGAATTCCTGATCTGCAGGGTCAGAGTATTAAAGCCAGAGGCTTGTTGTGACAGCCAGATGACTTCTAAGTTGAACAGCTAAATTCTATAGGACCATTAAACAGCTATTGTTGTGAAATGCAGTTAAACAACAGAAGAGAACAGATTACATGACTTAAGGCAGCCATGCATGGATCAAAATTCCTTCAGCAGGGACCAGCTTAATCTCAGTCCATGTATAGGTACCATGGTTGACCCGCCTGTTGGTTTTGTCCTGAACAATTAGGGGGAGATTTATTAAAAACTGGAGCACTCAGAATCTGGTACAGCTGCACATGGCTGCCAATCAGCTTCTATCTTCAGCTTGTTCAGTTAAGCTTTGACAATGAAACCTGGAAGCTGATTGGTTTCTGTGCAGACCTGCACCAGATTTTGCACTCTAGTTTTAGTAAATAACCCCCTTAGTGTCCATGGGTTTTGTCACCAACACTAATCATTGTGTTCTGCTGGAGGAGAAGGCTCCCTGTCACACAATAGCACTGCGGGAGGGATTCCCGCAGCAACACTGACTGTGGTAGAAGTAAAGAAAATTGCATAATATATGGCCTGACTTACTTATTGACTCAGAGGGGCATAACTCCTTTTTTTTCTTTCATAGAAGTCCCCATCTGGATTAGGTATACAGATGCTGCCAACAAATAAAAACAATGATGGGTCTTTCTTAATAGAAAGCCTAGCATCTTCTGGGAAATTAGTTATGGTTGCACTTTCTATCAAACATTATTATAACAATTGCATTAAACACTTTTTATTATTGTAAGCCTAAAACAAAATCACAAAAACCATTAAAACCCAGGTCCAGCTCAAGATAAAAAATAATTGCTGTGCAGAAATCAAAATAAAGAACTCTGGCTATATACTTGCCATACTTGACCCATGCCCCCCGCAGACCCTGCAGTCTAACACTAGCCCTTTCTCAGGCTGAATGTTGCCCAATGTCATTTTACCCACTTCATTGGAGCCTAGGGCATCAAAAACCTGCTCTTTAAGGGTGCTTTATGAAGGCACTCTGGGCTCACAGGAGAACAGTGTAAGAACTGGCACCACTTCAGTTCATTTCACTATCCAATGCAGTATTCAGGACCCCCTGGCTGCAGAAGGAAGAAAGAACTCATTATGTCACACCAGATCTATAACTAGGATTTTAATTGTGTATTCTTTGTTATCCAAGTTATGGCATAACTAGTTGGTCACATTCCAACGGTACTTGTTCTGCAGAGGTAGATAATTCATACCTTCTCAAAGCCGCTTCAGTTCCAATGATGCCCCAGAAATTATATCCACACAGACACATTAATCATTCCCTCTTGTATTGAACTGTATTGTTGCTGTATTGTCTCCCATTATATTGTAAAGCGCTGAGCAAACTGTTAGCGCTATATAAATCCTGTATAATAATAATAATAATTAAAATGTTTTACTAAAAGGTTCAGTTCTCCATAAATTGGTATTTCAAGTTTGGACAAATGAAGATCAATTGAATTGCACACTGGTTCGTTATATGTTTTGCTGCAAATGAGTAATAAAATCTGTCCTGTTGCTGCAGTTATTACAGCATCAGGACTCTTGTTGGATTTTTCATTTATGTTTATGATGAAAGCCCAGATAAAGAGGTGGGACTTCATCTTCTTGTAAGTGCAGTCCGTACTTCCCACTGTAGGTGGCGC